TCATTTTCGAGAATATTGTATATTCGTTAAACACTCTAGTTGTATTAAATAATAACTGCAGTCAAAATTCAAGTCTTTCTTGACTCCAACGTCAATAGTTCTGGATAAGTCTTAACTTGCACAAATTTAGAAATCGCATTCAAACAGCACTTTTTACAGGTGTAACTGGCTTTTTGGCGTACTGTATACGATAACAAATAACAATAGGTACTACCGATTCTACGCGAAGGATATATAGGTATACACACGTACTATAAAGTCTGACTTTTCTGCACTATGTAGGTACTGTGCTATATACTCAGCATGGCACGAGGCTTTGAGTAGAGAATGAGAATGGCTGCTACCGTATATATATATATATATGTTTCAGCTACCTGACTGGCATGCTATGAGTGGTGGAAGCATTGCATGATACATAAGAGGCGGGAACAACCGCGCAAGCAAAACAAAGAAGAAAACTGCCATTTTAAGTACCTGAGTAAGCGATATATCGCAAGATCGATACTGTCTGGCGGTAAATTCAAACGTCACATATTAATCTGACAACCCTGTACTCTCTATGCAATCCAAACAAGGCGTGTAGTTATATCAGTTGACTTGAATCAACTGGTTACAATTTCAATCAACTCATAATTTTTATCCAAACAATGCTGACAACTTAGTGTTATAACTTTATAATATCAGCAATCACTAAAAATTACATTTTACCAGAAATAATGACTTTTAAGCTTACCAAACTATTTTATAAGTGTGATCTAATAACATGATCTATGATTAATATGAGTGATCTATGATCTAACCTCTTAAAAAAATAGGGTTATGGGGTTATTGGCACTTAGGTTTAAATATCTCAATAAATATTCAAGACAATCTACGATTTAATGTATTTTGACTTTTGGTAACTGAAAATAATCTTATATTAAAAAAAAACTGTATAAATTATGTTATACTTTTCGTCTTTACCGCCATAAGTATTAAATATGGTGGAGCCAATCAGCGCAGAGCAGTACCCCTCTCCACAAGTCTAGAGGTTTTGAAGCACTAGCGCCAAACTCTACGTTAAATTGGATGAGGTGGCAACTTTTGTAAACCTACCTAGACAGGAGGCTTTTTCCCTCATCCACTGTTCGGTTATTGTTTGGAATTCGGGAGCGCAGTTCCATCACTTTCCATCCAATTTCATTCGTGCCTTTGGCGCCATATATACACGCTCGGCGTCGTCGGCTCTCTTCAAACAATACATCCGCACGTGCTTCCATAGCTGTTTGAAATGGCTGAAATAGGTAAAATTTAGTTGTCACGGTGTTGATTATCATTTCCAACTAGAATTAGTTACGTATATCTTTTTTTTTTTTTTTTTAATTCC